GGGCTGCTCTGCCATTCCCCTGGCAGTGTACGGCAGGGCGGGCGGGGGGCGGTGAGGCAGAGGAGGTGGGGTGCAGCCTTGCCGGTGAGGGGAGGGGAGGGCCCGAAGTCCACCAGAAGGGACGGGGCTTTTCCCTGCCTCCACGGGCAGCGCGGCTGGGCAGGCACGGAGGTGCTTGTTCATCCCGGGACTGCTGTGCGCCGAAGCTGCCGTCGCGTGATTGAGCCTGCGTCAGGTTAGACAGGCAGCGCTTTGCATCCCTCTAACTCGGTGATGTACGTGCCACAAAAGACTGGAAAGGAGGGCCAGAGCCGTGGCAGGCTGGCAGGTCGCCTGGTGTCTGCTCAGCACACGTGTGTGTGCACCCAGCCACAGGCGACCACTAGCTGATGGGATCGCAGAGGTAATCGTGCTTATGGTGTATCTTCAGGTTTCCTTTATGGATTTGTTCCGTAGCATAGAGATTCTTGTGCTTCTCAGGCTTCAGAGCAGACAGATTGGATTTGCTGTTGTGTTCTGTCCCAGTGGGACGGCATCTGGTTCTTTACATGCTGCAAATGCTCTGCTCGATCCACGTGTCTCGTTGTGCTAGACATGTTGTACTGTACAGCACATTGTAGGATTCTGAAAGCAGTAGCCTTAAGATGAGTAAATTGCACCTTACACTATCTTAAGACTCTATTGCATGGAGTGTAGGCACAGCTGTGTTATCCCACGGGCACGGTTCTGCGTAGGTATGGACACCACGACCATGTTTAATTGCCACATAGCATGTAAGTTTTGTGGCAGTGAGAGCACGTCCTTGACAAACCATTGTGTATAGTTTAAAAGATTTCAGTAGGGTGGGTACATTTTGGAAACAAGTTTCATTTTCTCTTTTTTGTTACTAGTTTTCTAGTTTCTAACCCTTTTTTGCAGCCCCACAGTTGCTGTGGGCTGTTGCGAGTTCTCCCATATTAACATTTCTTTTACAAGATATTTGCTAGGAATTACAACTGAGGACTAAAAGTACCTTATGGTATCTTTAACTCCTCCAAAAAAAGACAAATACAGTTCCCAAAACCCAAAAAGCAGGACTATTATAATTCTATGCTTAGTCTGTAAAGCATGTGGTTTATGCTTTCTGTAATATGCTGAAATTAAGATATGATGAATGTGGATGAAAGTAATAGTAAGTTTTTTGGCCAGGATGTCTAATTGCATATCTGCTCTCACTTAGAGCTTTGTTTTGGCTAGGAAAGAAATCAGTCTCCCATCTAGCTCAGTGAATGTGAGCTAAGCAAACCTGTCTGAAACGTGCTAGGTTTCTCGCTCAAGACAGACAACTTACAGCATGTGTAGGGCAAAAATGGCACTGGTACCTTTCCAGTTTAATCTGTGTGTAGAACTGTATAATTAAAGTTAGTGCTGTGTATGTTTCTTTTTTTAAGAAAAAAACACTTAAAAATCAGTGTGCAAGCTAGTCTGTTTTTTACTTACATGAGAATTAGAGCTACTCTCAATTTAAACTGAGTTGTATTCTTCACTCATGGTGATAATTCTTTGCCTGTCCCATTAGGAAGGAAGATTGCAAGAAGTAATTGAAAACCTTCTCTCCTTGGAAAAACAAACACGAACGGTGAGTAGCACGTGCTGGGTTGTCCTACACCCCTCCTTGTTCCACTGCGTTGAAGTCGTGAAGAGAATTGATGTATCAGTCTTTCTCTTGTTTTTTTCCTTAGAAAGAAACTCAATGAGGCTATAGGATCAGGTTTTTTTTCCTTTGTATAATAGAAGTGCAAGTGATAGAGGTCTGGCAGGTTGTGTATCTCATCGCTAATATGTTGTTTGTTTGTTGCAGGCATCTGATATGGTCTCCACATCCCGTATCTTAGTTGCTATAGTGAAAATGTGTTACGAAGCTAAAGACTGGGATGCTCTTAATGAAAACATTATTCTTCTATCAAAGAGAAGAAGTCAGTTAAAACAGGTGAATTTAATCCTTTGAAACAAAAAATAAAACTGTATTTGGAGCTGTATTGTATATCTGATTCCCCTGTGTGTGTAGGGACTTTCCTGGCTTTGTAACACCTGCCTGAATATATTGTTACTAGTGTCTGTTGACTTTTTTTGGTAGACAAGATGTTGTTTTTTGAAACCCGATAATGAAACTGATGTCTGGAATTAGTCTGTCTTCACCTTGTGCCTGAGCTTCGTGCGGTCCAGCTTGCCGTTCTTGGCAACACAGCTGGGACTGTTCTGCTTTCATGCATACCGGTGCTTTTAGATGGTACTTCATCTTTACACTCTTCTACAGTCTGTATTGTAGACATATTCTTTATTTGTCATGTTCACGTGAGGTCACATTAAACAGAGTTATTGCAATTTACTGTGATCAAATAAGGTATATACTTTACATATTTGCTTTTGAAACTGCCCCTGCTGTGGAATTCCGTTCTGTCTGAGAAATCGGCTATCAGCGTAGCTGAAAGCACTTGCATTTAAGGTACAAAGTTTATTGCATTGTGTGTTTAGTTTGACTTAATTAGAAGTCAGCAACAGGTAATTTTAATGGCATCATTGCTTTAGGAAGAAAAAGGTTACCTACTTTTTAATGTGCAGAAACATTACAAGTTTGTATACAAGTAGAGTACAGTTTAATTCTTTAACTTGCTTCAGCTGAATTTTCTTCTCAAGGCGTTTCTAGAAGTTTTATTATGTTGTTTTTGTTTTTAGAAGTAGGTGTTTTAATAATAATTGTAATGTCTTTGTCAGTGTTGTTACCAGAAGAACATATTCCAATACCTGTGCTTGCTGCTGAAGGATGCTGGCTTATTAGTTCCTATTTGGGAATATGCAGAGATAGAAAAGCATCAGTCAGAAATAATTACCCCTCTTCATTCCCTTCCTGAAAAATCTACAGGTGTTCTAAAGCGAAGAGCTAGTGGACATACTTAAGGGAAGATATGCCTTCCTTCAGCCATGCAGGTCTTAGGGCAAACAGTTTTGTCAGTCCATGTAA